TCAGTGTTACCACCACACATTCTAACAAGATTAGAAGAAAAAAATCTTACTGTAGATAAGCTGAAAGATATGAGGAAAGATGAAATAGGTAAGAAGGGGGAAAAATTGCTTAAATGAATTTTTCTGTGAAAATAAAATATTTTACTAGATATAAAAGTATTGTGAATTTTCATATTATTCATTTTTTTTTATTTCTGTTTTTTTGTACATTATAGTTTACATTGTTAATTTTGACATTCATGAATGCATAAACTCAATATAAATTTTGAACCTACATATAAAATCTCTTTATTTATGCAAAAGAGCAAAAGTCACTCCAAATTTTATGAAGTTATTTAGCAGAATTAGCAATTAAGGCTGGATGTGGTCATACATGCTTATAATCCCAGCAGTTCTGGAGGCTGAGATAGGAGGATCACAAGTTTCAGGTCAGCTTCAGCAACTTAGCAAGACTCTGTCTCAAAATTTAAAAAAAAAAAGAAATTTAAATGGGCTAGGGATATTGCTTAGTGGCTTAGCTGCCGGTCCTGGGTTCAACCCCCACTACCCCTTCCAAAAGAATTAGCAATTAAAATAGTTTATATTAGCAAAGTTTTAAGTATTTTAAATGTAGATCCTACCCATTAATGATAAGAATCATTCAGTGATATTTATTCTCATTTTGTTTCTTAATATTGAACTAATTTCAAAGATTTTGTTATATATATATCAGCAGTATTACAGTAAAAATTTAATTGAACAATAAGCTCTACATTCTCCAGAGTTTCTAAACAAGCTTAATTACACAAATATGCCTTTAGACCCAGTTGTTATCGGTGCATACATAGTATTCAGTGTCCAGCATTTTGTGTAATATTGAAAAGTTATTCCTAAACATACATTTCCACAAATCCTAACATTTATTGAATAAATGTATAATGCATTGATTAGACAGTATTTACTTCTGCAAAGGATAAACATTACACATGAAAAGAATCATTCTGAAGACAAATAAGAAGGAGGATTACTGCTGGCAAGAATTCTAAAGATGAAACTGAGCTCAGTGGCGCACCCTAGTAATCCCAACGGCTGGGGAGGCTGAGACAGGAGGACTGCGAGTTCAAAGCCAGCCTCAGCAAAAGCAAGGCACTAAGCAACTTAGTGAGACCCTGTATCTAAATAAAATTACAAAATAGTGTTGGGTATGTGGGTCAATGGTCAAGTGCCCCTGAGTTCAAGCCCTGGTACCAAAAAAAAAAAAGAATTCCAAAGATGTTTAGAGAGGCTGAGATAGTTATTACATTTGTAATAGAGTAGAAAAAAGGGCAGAAAGAAAGAGGGATTATTAACAAAGTAAGTTGACTGTGCACATATTGCACACTTGATGCTTTAAAATATAATCTGTTTTCACTTAATTGCTCAAATCAGTTAGTCACATTTGTTTTTTAACAGCCTGTACCCTTGGTATTCCCATACATGTCTTTATTCCAGAACCTGATTATTTTATGTTTTCTAGAAGTGGGCCTGGGTGGATGAGTTGTATTTAATTCCTGAAGCATTTCTCGTGATATTAGAGTTCTAAAGTAGACTCTGAATAAACCAGTGGCTATGTACATAAAATGTTAAATATTTCTGTATGTGTTCTAAACTAACTCAAAAAGTAGTTCCATTTATAGTAGTTTAAGCACAATATCAAGGCTCAGAACCCTATTAATACTTAAAGGATCCTTGATACTGATTTCCAGAGCTATGAATTGCTAATTCGAGTTAACTATTACAAAATATTCAAACATGCCAGGTCAAGAATGTCAGCTATTCTACATAGCAAATCATAAAACAAGCAATAAAATCACCTACTCTGAAATCCCATTTACAAGTCAGATTATATTGCTTTTTTTCTGTCTGAACACATTTTTTCTATGTGATATTTTTCTTTCAGGTCACATTTTGCATCATGTGAATATTGGACTGAAGGTCAAACAATGTGTTCATCAGATTCCTTCTGTTATGATGGAAGCATCCATTCAGCCTATCACACGGACTGTCCTCCGAGTGACACTCAGCATCTACCCTGATTTTACATGGAATGATCAGGTAGAAGTGGAAAATATCTATGTCTATATTAAACTAAAATGTCTGTACCTCAGATTTTACTACACCTCCCTACATCTGTCCTCAGAGAGCCTAGGGAACTTAACATTGCAACACTGGACAATATTTTAGTGATTTCAAATCCATGAGAACTTTGCTATTTATTTTTGCCCTCTCTATTGACTCTCATTTTTGCTTACCAAAAATCCATTTTTAAATCATGATGTCTCTCAAAATACTGTTCTCTCCTTCTCTTAAACATTAGACTTATAGAAAAGGTATTCTACATTTTCTTTCTTGTCACCAGTTTCTTTTCTGCTAAGACTACTTCCTCAAGGATCTCTAATATCTGATTGACGAATTGCCATAATAAGCAGATTTTTCAGTTATTTTCCTTCTCTGATTAGATAGCATTTTATACATAGCTCTTCCCTAGAATGTCCTTTCTTGATTCTTATCATGTTTCTATTTCTACTTTTATTCCTCCTTTTCCTGCTTTAATACTTAGATGTTCTTCAATATCTTATATGTGTTTACCAACATAATGGTAAACATACATGTAAAAACCTACTTTGTATTCTCTTCTTATTCTATCAATAGCTTTTAATATATATCCTTTGACTAGTTACTGTGTTAGAAATTGTATATACAAAAGGCAAATAGGACTCAGTCTTCAGTTTCAAAAAACTAACTGGGGAAGGCAAGTAAATCAGAAACTGTATATAACAATGCTTACAT